TCCTTTCTTCTTCTTCTTCTTCTTATCTCCTCTTTGGTGGGAGGAGCCTACACTCCAAAGGCTGACCCAATGATACCATGCCAACTCATTTAGTTTTGATTTGGCATTTAGCGGATAAGGAAATTACTGGAAAAGACATGATACTGCTTCACGTGTAACATAGTTTATATAGCAGTAACAGTATTTTTTCCACCAATTGATTATTGATTATTGAATATTGAATATTGATGGTCCTCCACCGTCCTTCCACAGTGGGGGCATGCAGAAGTGAGGTCCCCAGAATGGTTTGTTTGGGTGAAGTAGGGAGCTTTTTCTACATTATTATGGGGGAATCTTGATCTTGTAGGCTGTAGCCAACCCAGAATGCAGGCCTGTATATCAAATAGGTGACCCATTATGTTAATTGTTAAATCATAAATGGCTGTCCTGTTCATCCTTCTACTTTAGAAGATCGCATTGGATAGTGGGAATCAAGGTGTGTACGTATTGGAATTTACAAATTTGGACATTTTCATATATGATTTATAAACATTTGCTATATTCCAATTTAAATGCTTTTCCTCATGAATTTTAAAAACGAACCGGTCAGGGGTCCGGTTACTGGTTCGAACGGTCCAATTGTTCGATCCGAACAATCGGCCTGTTCTGACAAAAAAGTAAAAAAAAATTTAAAAATTTGAAAAACGTTCAAAACCATTCAAACGATTAACCAACCAGTTCAACGGTTTACTGACCAAAATCAACGGTTTTGGGAAAAAAGCAGTTTTGGAGGAAAACAAAACCAATCACCTGACCAGCTCCCGGTTTTTTCAGTCCGACCGTCTGATCCAGTCGGTTTTGAATTCAGTGCTTTTCCTTGAGTGTTTTTATAGTTCTACAAATGGCATGGCCTTGCACATCAATGCTTTTAAGTTTTTAACCCATTGTATTACCCAACAAGATATTGGTTCTGTTGATGACTCATGGACCCATACATATGAACCGTTCACCTGTCATATGATCATATCCATTCAATGGGTTAACCTTTTTTTATATAATTAGAGGTAATTAGGTGATTATCATGAGTTGAGTTGGGTTGACCCTTTGACCCGAGGACTCCGAGCGGGTTTTAAAATTAAGCAAAATATTGAAACTAATCAATAACCAACATTACTAGAGCAAGATGGTAGGCAAGTTAGAATCAAATCCTTCATTCATTGGCGTTTTGTGTGTGTGTGGGTGGGTGGGTTAGGGGGGTAGAGGTGGCAAGGAGTTGAGCTTTTACGAGTTGTTTGAGCTTGGTTCGGCTTGGTTTCAGCTGAGCTCGAGCCCAATTCAGTAGTTCAATTGTTAAACGAGCCAAGCTCGAGCCTAGTAGAGCTCGGCTTGTGAGACTCGTGAGCTAGTTATATATTTGATATTTAATATATATATGTTAAAATTATAAAAATAATATATAATAAAAATAATTATAATTATTAATTATTATAATTCTTAATTTTTTAAATATAAAATAAAAAAAATTATATATAATTTTTATTTTTATAAAATATAAAACGAGCCGAACTGAGCTCGAGCTCGAGCCTTGTAGAATAGTCTCGAGCCGGGCTCGAGTCTAATACCATTCGGCTTGGCTTGGCTCGAATCCACCCCTAAGGGGGGGATAGCCCCCTTTGTATAGTGAAGCTCCTATAGTTAACCCAATAAGGTGAATGAATACTTTAATAAACTTAATAGTAAATAAATGAGAAAACTATAATTTTTTTTTCTAAGAAAAAGAAGAAAGTTTTACGTTTCCTACTCCTCTCAACAATCTAAGTGTGAGAGACATACAAGTTTTAAAATTTGAATACTATTAATTATTTAGTTGGTTGTTCATTCACAACAATCACTTGTATGATGAAACCACAAAGCGTTTGAAATAAAACAATAAATAAGAGAATCCAATGGTAAGAAAGATAAAAGAAATCCAAGCAAAGACAAAAAAAGATGTTAAAAATACAAAAAAAAAAAATGTATGATTCAACAGAGGTTCAAAATTTTATCATGTATCGACCGATACATATCATATTAATGAATCATCAATATGCAAAATATAACAAGTTTCGGGATAAGACCTATTTGAGGGGGTAACCAGGCCTTTAGCCGATCCCCCGAACAAATTTTGAAAAAAAATATAAAAGAGTATTGATACAAAGTCCGATACACCCAATTTGGCATATCGGACTGCATGATACTTTGAACCTTGGATTCAACCTTGTTGCCTATATATGCAAGAAAGGTAAAACTGTTTTTACTAAAAAAGAGAATGAAAAAACAATACATGGTACATTGTGGTTTGTAACCTAAAACCTAAACCAACCTTTTAATGCTCGTACATTCTTCCTCCTTTCCTTATCTCAACCCAAAAAACGAAATAAATAACCAATTTTTACAACAAGAGCATTCCCCCCCTCTCTCTCCAACAAAAAGCTTAAGCCTTACATGCAAATAAATTTTTTATATATAAAGCCATCCTTAACCTAAAGAGGGATGTAACATAATCCAATATATAAAAAATAAGACACAAAACCCAACACTGTTGATATTGTTTATGAGAGATTATATTTATCTAGCTTTATGTAAAATATATAATAAAAGATTTTTGTTTCGTTTTTTTTTTAATTCTTTTCTTTGAAAGCCATATTGGGTTTTTTTTTGCAAATAGCATCATTAATAATAAAGTAAAAGAATCTCCAATAAATTTAATAAATAAACATTTTGTATAATTGATTAAAAATACAATAAATGAGCTATTTGTATGGTCTATTGAGTTGAAACCTTTTCCGATCAAGGGTGGAAAGAAGAGTTTGAGAACTTCTTCTTAACAACAACAATAACAACATTGATAATAATAACAAAAACCATAGATTAAAGAAATAATAGCATTCTAGTTTATAAATCAATAATATTTATATGCAAATCGAGGAAATTCTTCGCTCCATCCTTGGTTCCTCAAAAAAGTTAAAAAAGAACAACACTACAAGACACTGGGGGATGTGGAGAGAAGAATTGATTCAGGGAATGGGTGAGGGTGATACTACTGAGTCTGGTCAGTCTGATTCAAGGAATAATTTATGCAAAAGGCAGCAGCAGCAGCAGCTGGCTAAACTGGTAAAGTTGATGAACGTAGTTGCTATGTTCATTAAATCGAATCCCACCTCCACCGTCTCTACCTTGTCTTCATCTTTCACTTTGTCCATTCAAGAAAATAAAATTAGGGATTTAATAATGTACGTATTTTACTGTGACGTGACACCAGGTGGTTACAGGAGATTTGGCTAGAGGTATGTACGGGTTCTGTGTCTGGATTCTCTCTTTCCATAAGGCCTCCTTCTCATTCTATTTCTTCCATGGAGTAGTGGCAGAGGGCTGAAAGATGGATGAAGACGGGTCGTCCGTGGGGTGGCCCGTTTTTTTTTTTTTTTTCTTTTTCTTACTGTCATGAAAAAGAAGAGGAAATGAGAAGCAAACCAGTGCTGGCATGGATTAATATGTGAATCTGAATCGCTGACTATGGATTCTATTATTTTCGCCACTTCTACAGTTCCACAGCCTTGTCGTTTACATCTGTATTGGGATTCGATATTTAATTTGGCCACCAAATCCCCTGTCTGTTTTGAGGGGCCAGTAGTTCGGTTCGGACTTCGGAGTTGGGACACAGATGACAGAGAGATTTACTTGTGGTAAAATGGACCCTCCTAAATCACTTGTTTCTTACTTTCGTGGAACATGCATGTGATGAAGTGAACCCAATCTCTCTGTCTGTGTTTGTGTGGGTTGGACCAAGTCCATCATCCATGGTGAGGTGAGTTGTTTGGGGAAGGAGTAGTTGAGGGTTGTGGGCTGCTGAGGTAGCTAGGGAGTGACTGAGTGAGGAGGAAGGGAGGAACTGTCTTATTCGTGGAGAAAGATACGATAGAATAGAGAATGAGATCTTTCACGGCGCTGCCGCTGCATGCAAAAGTCATAAGAATACATGATATGATATGTAGCGGTCACGTCTGATGCAAAAAAAGATTTCAAGGATGCGCGCATAAAAGGTCCCCATCATTTGATGGTAAAATGGTGAAAGCAACAGAACTGAGAAGTGAGAACCCCCTCCCTCCTCCCTCCTCCCACCACCCAGAACCCAGCCAAGACCAATACCCATACCGCCACTCATCTCTCTTTCCAGTCTCCACTAGCTAAACCTTCTTCTTCTTCATCATCATCTGAACTGATCACGTATCTCCTCTGCTTTCAGTTCAGACTTTAGAGAAACCGGCAATTAATTGGGCATGGAGCTGCTAGGTGTGCCATCAGGCGTTGCTTACTTATTTTGGAATTTGGAGAGAATTGCAGTTTCAGTATTATTAGCTAGGTTGGACTGATAAGACACTTCATAGGCAAGGCAAAGGGGAGAGGAGAGAGGGGGGGCTACTTCTCTATAATACAGTACCACCCAAACATAAATTAACAAATACGCCATCCCCCGTCTTCCCCTTCCCAAATCGGCAAATTTCTTAGCCTTTTTTTTTTAATTTTCTTTTTTAACAAACTGATTTTGAGTTTTTCTAAGATTACCAAATAAATAAATTATGGCCTGGAACGTATCGTGTTTGTTCAGGAATAAGGATTAATCTTCTTTAGACTATTTCTTCCACGTGGGCAGAGATGATGTGGCTAGTTCAGTTCAAAAACGCTTATTAAATCTGATAGGAACCCTCTGCATTGGCCATGTGTTCATTTTCCCTGTCCACGTTAAAGATTTCAGCGAGTGACATGTGAGATCAGACGTCCTAACGAATGCATTCAATTTTGTAATTCGAAAAGTGCGCGCAATCACATTCCCACATTGTACTATAATTGCAGTGCTAACACAAAGGAGGAGGGGTGTACTCTCTCTCTCTCTCTCCCCTTAATAGCAAAAGCTAAAATAAGAGCATCCCCTCTGGTTCTGGACTTCTGGTGTAATTAATAGACCAATAGCAACAGAGAAATGATGAGCAAAAGACATAGACGTATGCCCAATACTTGCGAAATAAGGCATAGATTACAGGGTAGTGATACCAAAGGAAGCTGCTACATGATAAAATTCTACAATAACAAAAGGGTCCTCCAGGGATAGCTAGACAGAGGAGAAAAAATATATATAAAGAAAAAAAAAAAAGTGACTGTGAGAAGGAGAAAGAATGATGCTGGGAAGTAACTTTCATATCCACAATTCGAATGGGTTGGGGTTTTCTCCTCTGAACTTTGTTCTTCAATCAAGGATTGAATATCATGTCACCACATTTGCACTTCCAGCTCATGGGCTTGTAGTTGGAGTTGTCAACTCCCCTGAAAAAGGCTACGCTGGAGACCTTGGAGGAATGTCTACTGCCGCTTCTGAACTGTGGGACTACAGGAACCTGAACTGCCTCACAGTGCCCACACGAGCTGCACCTCCTCTCGCATCTTGGAGGCCTCGAACCAATCTGTGCTCTCACAATCGTCTTCTCTTCACTGTTCATCTGTATAGTGAAGTAATGCAACCCAAACAATGTTAATAACAACTCAGTGAGAGCAAAACGAAAACAAAATAACAGAGCAAGAAAAGATGGGGCAACAACTCACTTGAGTATCCTCAACCAGTCTAAAAATCTCTCTACCTGCAATACACAGCACATGCCGGACAGGGAAAAACGTTAGACTTGCAAATTGCATTTAATAAGGAAGTTATTTCCACATTTCAACTGGCACCCACTAACCTTCAGCCATTGATCTTAACTGGGTCGAACTCGAAACCAGCAGAAAGAGCAGGGAAATGACAAAATGGCGATACATGTGCCTAGAAACGCAATTATGACTATAGCCCATATCAGACCGAGCGAATTGAATGCTAGACATGAAAAACAGAGGAGAAAAGGTTTGTGCTTGTTTGTTGAGATATGTTTTTTACAGGTGTGGGTGTGGGACGACGTTGAGAGAGAGAGAGAGAGAGAGAGTGACCCACCGTGTAATCGTGAATGCGTGGTTGTGAGTTGTGTGACAAAAGAGAGTGATTAAATAGAGCAAGAAAGAAATTGGAAAAAGTGTACTAAAATGGGGATGAGGAATTGAATGTCACTATAACGTCCAGTGGTGCTCTCTTTTATCTCCGTCCTGTCTGTCGCGATGAGAAGATGGAACGTCGAAGGACAAAGGAGTATTGCAGAGGCCTAAAAGAAAGAACGAAAGGAAAGGTACCCCGAAAACGGAAGAACCTCAACCTCGGATAATGAGCCCCCAAGCAACCCAGAAAAAAATAAAAAAAAATAGAGTAAAAACGAAAGAGGGAGCAGTGGCAGCAGCATCAGTAGGCTGTGGGGGTGGTGGTGGTGGTGGTGGCTGTGAGGCACCGAAGAGAGAAACAATAAATACAACGACCGAAATAGCAAAATCACAAAAACCCAGTGAGAGTAAGGTTCCCACATAAAGACATAAAATCACAGCTGTTGTTTTGGGTTTTCGCTTTCCTACCCACCCTGCCCCTTATTTTGCTTTCATTTTTGTGTTTTCTTGTTGCGGTTGGTCTGACCAGTCCCACCTCTACACGCTAAAGGCTAAATCCCATTTTCTCTGCCCCTCCTCTATCTCTATCTCTCCCCCCGATCCGATTGAGAAGAATCAAGAATCCCATAAAAAAAGAATCAAAATATGCGCATTCGACCGACGACCACTCCACTCACTCGCATCTCATTCGATTGTGCTCTATCACATAGCCGTAGGAGCGAACAAAATCTCTTCTATTTCATATTTACTTGCATTATTAATTTATTACAAAGTAAGGGTGACGAGTCACAGTCAGAAAGAGCGTTCACGCTGAGTAAAAATGGGTGTGATCCCTCATCATCCCTCAATCCTCATAGACTAGTACTAGTGTTTTCAATTTGAAAGCTATTAGGTGTCTTAATTTTTGGGCCAATCAGTAACGAACACGGTAGGGGGTGGCACGGTTAACTCAGCGTGACCGCTGCTCCCGCACACCCTTCTTGCCTTGAGTTTATCTCTCACCGTCTTGGGAGAGGAGGAATATAATAATTTCCGAAGAAAGTAGGGCGAGGAAAGATGTCAGGTAGAGAAGAGCTGCTTTTGTTAATCGTAAATGGAAGTTGCAACAACCCCCCCACCTGAATGTGGTGGCAGCTGTTTTACCTGCTAACCTACGCAATCTCATGTGGATTAGAGCCCTCTTGAATCTTGAATTCTTGATCCTTGAGAGTGGTGTTGTTAACTTCTGTGAGTGTGAGAGAGAGAAAGGTTATTCAGTTAGGTGCTCTTTTTTCATGGGTTTGTTATTAGATTAGTTACAGAGAAAGTCGTAAAACCCCGAATGGACAAAAGCGAGAGAAAGAGAAACATTTATTGGAGTCCGAATCGTTCTAAAGGAATCATTATTGTGAATATTTTATTATTAAATGCGATTTTCACTGCAAGACATCAGAATATAACTTTTATCGCTAATCAACACATTCATTTTGAGGAGAGAGAGGGAGAGAGACAGACAGAAGCATGCACCACTTCAACATTGTTAGAGGGGGACAGATCAGTAGATCAGATAAAAAGTGAGAGAGGAAAAGAATTTAGAGATGGTGAAGATATCTAATTCTCCTGTCAGCTGTCACTAACAACGACGTCTTTGAACTTTAGAGGTGTCCCCATTCGAATGTATTTTGTTGGCATGTGTTCGTGAGTTCTCTTTCAATTGATATTTCTTCTTTTAAAGCCAGAAAACAACGAATAGGAAATCAAAACAATATTAACCTGCTTTGTCAAGTCTTTTATAGTTATATTGTAGTTTTACTATTTACTTCCCAATTACCAAAGAAGGATATCTACATATATTTATAATATTTATTTACATGTGTCCTCCAAGTAACCGACGGATTCTTCATCTTTTTTTTTTTGAATTTCTACTAACTACCATGCTGCATGCGCCACTCCTCTCTCTCTCTCTCCCTCTCCCTCTCCCTCTCCAATCTACATTTTGGGATTTGAGTAAGAGCAGCGAGATAGGACCATAGGTGGGGAAGTAAGTATCAAGTAGGGGTGGTGATCATGGGCCGGATGGAGCCGGGCCAGGGCTCGAATTCCTGATGCAGGCTCAGGCCCAGGCTGGACGGTTTGAACCCGGCCCACCCATTTCAAAGTTGGAATATTAGGGCGTTGGACTTTAGGAGGGTCGCTCTCGCTCGATAGGAGGAAATGCCATTGCCACCTAAATAAACGAAGTTTACGCAGGTGAGGATCCATCACCCATATAAGCCAAAGATGGTTAGACATATGCCATTTCATGTATTCCACCTTGTTCGGAGGACAAAGAAAACCAAACAGTTGCATAAAGTCGTTTGCTAACATATCTCAACCCATCTTCCAAAAAAATACATATCTCAACCTAATATCACTGGTTTTTCCTTATTCGGGATCGAATAGAATATACATTGATTGGTGGTCTATTGGCCAGTCGTTACAGTTTCCATCCAACATATTTAAGCTCTATATTTCTGGGTAAGGATCCTCCAACCACTACACTTTTTAAGGCTCATATAAATTTTTTATCAAACACCTGGAGTTTTTACTAAAACAGTAAAACCATCACGTATGTCAAATGATCACCGTCGTCGTAAGATAAAATGGTGATGAATAAAAGATATATTAGTTAGAAGAAGTGTTGCATGGATTATGCCAAATGGACGATGTGTCCATGTTGGATATGGATCAGAGTCCAACACCCCATGGATTATTGAGGACACCTCCATGTAGCATTTCATTTTTTTTTAAATCTCCTAGCTTATTTGACATAAATAACAGCTAATAACAAGATATAGTGTCATTCTTTGTATCAAACTTTACTAATTCTGTTTGTTTGCAGTGCAATTTCATTTGCACAAGTCCACATGCATGAAAGTGTGAAATGGGGAAATTGCAAATTCTGATTCACTTTTCCTTTGGGTTCTACTTTGCTTCAAGTTTTCTTTTAATTCATCTGCAATGCAAATAAATAAAATAAACAAAATCTGAAACAAAAATAAACAAAAAATTGCATTCATATCATCTGTACTCAGCATATTTTTGCAGCAGTGCAAATGGAATCGTATCACAGACCAGGCGAACAAAAGCAGCAAGAGGCGATCATGGACCAAGTCAGGCTGGGGTTAGCACCCATGATAAGGACTATAGCCCAGGCCTGGGCCTGGCTTGGTCTGGACCCTGGGCATGAAATATAAGCCTGGGTCCAAGCCAGGCTGAAATGACCATCCCTAAGCAGCATGTTTTGCAGGTATATAATATTGGAATTCAACAAATATGAACTGTTTTAGTAGGTATATATTTTGCCATATACACCTCCACAAGTCTATGTTTTCTCACTTTACTAAAGTAGATAATTCCGATTCCTTTGTGTGTCCATGTCCATGAAACACTACTTAGAAGTTTTGATGTGCTACGAGTCTGTATGGTTATCGGTAACATTAAAGGAAAAAGAAACACAAGTGCAAGCTGAAGTCTGCTGTAAAATACTAAAGCCATGTTTGGTTTGAAGGAAAAGGTAGGGAAAGGAAGGGAAAGACAGGGAAACCAATACAAGATTTGTAAAGGTTTCCTTGCCTTTTCCTTCAAACCAAACATAGCATAAATAGAAAATTAATCTTTGGGGAAAAAACTACATACTGTTAACATCCATTTCGACACTGTACAGGGAAAGAAAATTAATCTCATTCTTGCATATGCTTACATGAAAATGAATTGTGTGCATGTATATGCTTACCTCCATTTTGAGATAGTTTACAGCTAGAAGTAAATAAGATAGGTGTTAAGATGTATTACAGGAGAAAGTTATCAATAACATGGAGAATCACATCAGCACCATCAGAATTGATGCAGTAAGTCTTCACCTGTAAACAGAGTCACCACAGTAGCATCCTCTCTAAGTCATGAGAATCATGTAAGAAAAACTAAAAGCTCTGAGCTTTAAAAATAATCATCAACTGACAAATGCTACCGGCATTGTATATTTGAGGTCCAGGTACATTTCTCAAGTGGAAATGATAATAATATACTACTGGGACTTGATTATAGAGCAGAACCAGATTGAAAGGACCAAATAAGTGTTGGGAAAAAGAACAGAAATTCTAATTTGAAAACAAAGCCACTTCGAATTCAATTTTCTTCATGCAAAAAAACATGAGAGGTCCAAATATATAGACTTACAGCTGAACTAACCTTAGCTAAAAATAAGCAACTAAATTAGAAAGTGGAAAAACATGGCTCACTAACTCAAAATAGTGCCTAACAATTTGGAAGTAAATCACCCACTAAGTCCACTAACATAATGCCTAACAATTAGGAAGTAAACCACCCACTAAGTCTACTAACATAGTGCCTAACATTTAGGAAGTAAATCACCCACTACGTCCACTTAGTTTGAAGCACTATCAACACTCCCCCTTGCTTCAAAGCTTGTTACTCCCATCTGCAGTCTGAAGTACTCGTGTTTGGCACGTGGTAGTGACTTGGTAAGAACATCAGCTACTTGCTCATTGGTCCCACAATGCTTCATTGCTATTGTTTCTTCAGCAACCAGATTTCGGATGAAATTATAGCAAATGTCAATGTGCTTTGTTCTGCTGTGGAAAGCTGGATTTTTCGCCATAGCAATGGTTGCCTTGTTGTCACAAAACACTTGAGCTGCACCTTCTTGAACTTGGCAGAAATCAGCTAACAATCTCCTTAGCCAAACTGCTTGACAAACTGATGTTGTTGCAGCGACATATTCCGCTTCTGATGATGACAAGGCCACGGTCTCTTGCTTCTTTGAACTCCATGAAATAGCACCCGAACCAAGGGAGAAAACATAGCCGGAGGTGCTTTTTCTATCATCCAAGCAACTTGTCCAGTCACTGTCAGTAAAACCCAAAAGTTTGAAATTTGATACTTTTGAGTACCAAATTCCAAAATCAACAGTTCCAACAACATAACGAAGGATCCTCTTTGCTGCCCTGAGGTGATGCATTGTTGGGGTAAGCATAAACCTAGAGACAACGCTGACAAGGAATGCTATGTCAGGCCTTGTGTGAGACAAGTAGTTCAAACCGCCAACCATACTTCTGAAATACTTCGCACTCGCCATTCCAGTGCCATCATTAGCTATGAGTGTTTCATTCACATTCAAGGGAGTTGGAGCTGCTTTGCAGTTTAACATATTGAACCTTTTCAACAAATCATTAGCATATTTTCTTTGGGAAATAAAAATCCCATCTGCACTTTGGTTGACCTCCAAACCAAGAAAATAATGCAACAAACCCAAATCTGACATCTCGAATTTTTTCGTCATGCAAGACTTAAATTCCTCAACAAAAGACTCACAAGATCCCATATAAATTATGTCATCAACATAAAGACACCACCAAAAAATCAGAGTTACCTTGCTTCTTCACATAAAGTGTTGGCTCATTTTTACTCCTTTCAAATCCATTCTCCTGAAAGTAAGAGTCTATTTTGCTATACCATGCTCGCGGGGCTTGCTTTAGGCCATATAAAGCCTTCTTTAACCTATAAACTTTGCTGTCATCGTCACTAACAAAACCTTCAGGTTGAGAAACATACACCTCTTCATCAAGTTCTCCATTCAAAAAAGTGGATTTAACATCAAACTGGTACACAACCCAATTTAATTGTGCAGCCAAGGCTAGAAAGGTTCTCACCGTTTCAAAGCGAGCAACCGGAGAAAAGGTTTCTTCGAAGCCAACACCTTGCTGCTGAGAGTACCCTTTCGCCACCAACCGAGCTTTGTGTTTCTGTATAGTACCATCAGCATGGTACTTTGTTCTGTACACCCACTTGAGCCCAATAACATTCTTGCCTTCTGGTAGATTGATCAATTCCCAAGTTTCATTTCTTTCAATAGCCGACATCTCTTCTTTCATTGCGTCCTGCCAAACTTGACTTTTTGCAGCTTCATCATAACAAGTGGGGTCAGAAACATACAAGGCAAAGCTACATGAAGCATAAATATCCCTCAATGATCTGAATTTTCTTGGAGGTGTTTCACTAGAGGAACTTGAAGATGAGGACTGCAAGCTTGTTAGAGTAGATGCGCTACTGTTGCTGGGGGGAGATGAGTAAATGGTTGAGTTGCTGCTACCAGCATATGGACTAGCTGGTTCTGGAGGTTCTGTCACAGGAGTTTTTTTTTTTTTTGATGAATTTGTCACAGGAGTTATACTAGCATCTTCTGTAACTTGTGGTGTTGTAGGTGTTGCATTGTTGTTGTTCCAGGCCCAAGTTTCTTCTTCATTGAACTTAACATCCCTGCTAATAATTACTTTGCCACCCACAAGGTTATACAACTTATATGCTTTGGATTGAGGGCTATAGCCAACAAAAATGCATTTTTTTGATTTTTCATCAAGTTTGTTGGGGGTTGAAAAAGTAACCAAGGCATAGGCTATACAACCAAAAATTTTTAAGTGGCTTACCCGTGGCTTCTTATCGTTCCAAGTTTCATATGGGGTCCGGTTCATGACAACTTTTGTAGGTGAGATATTGAGAAGATAAATTGTTGTTGCCACTGCTTCTGCCCAGAACTGATTTGGAACACAACTTGCTTTCATCATGCTTCTTGCCATTTCAACCATCGTTCAATTCTTCCGCTCAGCCACACCATTTTGCTCCGGTGTGTACGGTGCCGTCAACTCCCTGTGAATGCCATTTTCTTCACAGAAAACATTAAATTCATTAGAGGTAAATTCACCACCCCTATCGAAGCAGAGCGCCTTTATACAATGCCCACTTTGCTTCTCCGCTAATGCTTTGAATTTCTTGAAAGTTTCAAAAGTTTCTGATTTGAATTTCAAGAAATACACCCAACTCATGCGGCTGTAATCATCAGTAAATAACAAAAAATATTTGCTTCCACCAAATGATTCAATACTCATTGGTCCACACACATCAGCATGTACCAATTCAAGACAATCAGAAGCCCTCCATGACTTGTCTACAGGAAATGAATTTCTACTTTGTTTCCCATAAACACAGCCTTCACAAAAATCAAGATCATCAATTTTTGGCAACCCAACAACCATATTTTTTTGAGCCAATAATTTCAGCCCTTTCACATTTAAATGCCCATAATGCAAATGCCACATTTTTGCATCACTAGCTCTAGCAATCAAGGCACAATCTCTGACTTCAGAGACTTCTAACGGAAACATTTTATTTTGTGCCATAGGAATGCTAACTATTTTGTGCCCTGTTTTCTTATCTTGGACAGAACAACAACCATCATCAAACAAAATAGAGTATCCACCATCCATCAATTGCCCAACACTCAACAAATTATGAGCTAAATTAGGAACATATTGCACATATGGAGGAGTTTTACATTACCTTGTGAGGTTTTGATGGCAATTGTACATTTCCCTTCAACTTGCATTTGCTTGTTGTCTCCGAGTCGAACTTCACTTTTCTATGACTCGTCAAGTTCTTTAAAAAGAGACTTTGTTCCAGACATATGGTTGGAGCATCCACTGTCCAGAAACCAAACTCCTTTGGAAGCATCATCAATAGGAGAATGAGCCATGAATAGCTTGCTTTCCTCTTCAACTTTCTCTGTAAAATTGGCTTGTTTCTGCTCATCTTTCTGCTTGGTCCAACATTCTACTTCTTTGTCCCCCAATTTCTTGCAATATCGGCATTGGATGGTGCTTTTGTATTGGTGTTGATCACCAAATTGGCCTCTTCCTCTGCCGCAACCACGACCTCGACCACCTCTGCTCTGTCCCCGACCTCCAGAATTTTCTGACTTTCCCTTGTAGGAAGACTCCCCCTTAACATGAAAAGCCTTCTCCTCAACCTTTTCATAGGATCTGCTCAGTCTAGCTTCATGGGCTAACAGAGAACTCATTAATTCATCAAAAGTATAACTAGACAAGTCCTTAGACTCTTCAATTGCAGCAACTACATGATCGAATTTTGAGGTTAGGCTCCTCAAAACCTTACTCACAACAGTTTCATTGCTAACACTTTCACCATATGACTTCATATGATTAACAATCCTCGACACCTTGGATAAAAATACTTGCACAGATTCTTTTTCTTTCATGGCCAATGTTTCAAAATCACAATGAAGAGTCTGTAATTTAACAGTAATTACCTTCTTGTTGCCCAAGAATTCTTGCTTCAGAATCTCCCATGCTTGAGTGGAGGTGCTAGCTGCTGCAATTCTTGGAAAAATTTCTTCATCAAGGGCCTGTTGAATGAGGAACAGARCCTTTGCATCCTTCTTACGGGTTTCTCGTAACCGTTGATTAGGCTCGGTTGGATTTGTGTCTTCAAATCCCTTCTCCACCAAGTCCCACAGCTCTTGAGACTTGAACATGGTCTTCATTTTGAGACTCCAGAAGTGATAATTTTCCCCTTTGAAGACTGGAATTAGGGGCAGAGCTGATGAATTGGCTCCATTGCTTCCCATGGCGGAACTCTCTTTTCTCTTACTTTACCCTTTGCCCAGATAAAGACCCAACTTGGCTTTGATACCAAAGAAATTGTTGGGAAAAAGAACATAAATTCTAATTTGAAAACAAAGCCACTTCGAATTCAATTTTCTTCATGCAAAAAAACAACATGAGAGGTCCAAATATATAGACTTACAGCTGAACTAACCTTAGCTAAAAATAAGCAACTAAATTAGAAAGTGGAAAAACATGGCTCACTAAYTCAAAATAGTGTCAAACAATTTGGAAGTAACTCACCCACTAAGTCCACTAACATAATGCCTAACAATTAGGAAGTAAACCACCCACCAAGTCCACTAACATAATGCCTAACAGTTAGGAAGTAAATCACCCACTATGTCCACTTAGTTTGAAGCACTATCATAGTGCCCAACATTTAGGAAGTAAATCACCCACTACGTCCACTTAGTTTGAAGCACTATCAACGATAAACAGTACCCAGTCCTAGGGATTGTGGCTTGGGCTGTGCCCTAATCTGAATAAGCCTGAACTTGTTCAGAGATGCAGCTTCGTTCGCTTGCGTTGGGTAATAATATAATGTCAATGTATGGAAAGTGGTTTCTATGGATCAAACAACTTTTGTTCACTAATCAATAATAGGACCCCTATGATTAGGAAAATCTCTTCTTATTCTTCATACACTAGCGAATATTTTAATACACCAAGAATAGAAAAAGACAAATGTGTACTGGGGTTAGGATGGATTTTGTTGCTGTGAGCCCAACCTAACCTGATCTGTGGGAAATCTAATAAACCAAACATAAAGTTAGTTGGACCTGTCCCAAGTATCCTTGCCCAACCCTAATCAGGTGCCAAGACCCAACAAGAAATGATAAGAGGACTAGTTTACAGGAATAAACCTTGTTACTTAGCGTTCAGAAAGCAACTGGATGTCTTTGAATAGTATCTGTAACACTCCATCTGCTTTAGCTTCTCACTGGGTCAATTGAATCAGAACGTGTCTGTTTGACAGGGAAAAGTTACTGGTTACATAGTTCTAACCTAAGATGAATGAATGTATGGAAGTGGGAGCCGGAGCTGGGGTGGGAAAACAGAAGCATCAACTATGAGTCAAACTTGACTCAGACTTGATGAGAAGTTTGGCAGGATATGCCATGTCTTTCAGACATCACATGGGTCAAACTTAACAAGATGTTGGTCAAAGTAAATAACTGTTACCTCAAATTTATGGAGGCTTCTGACATCTATACAAATCAGATTTATTTTAGTGTATGTGATGAAATTGAGAAAAGAGAAGATACTTGCCTGTATGGTACTGTGTGCAAGAAATCTCTGTTTACTTCTTCTGAAGCAAACATCAATTCGTTCCCAACTCAGTTTTGTGAGACCTCTTATCATTGCCTCTACAATTTTGGCAAATAAAAAAAGAAACTCAGTTTGTTTTCCTTCTTTTGATAATTAAGAAAACTTTATTAACAAAAATATAAGAGAAGGGACAAAGCCCCTATACAAGAATAAATACGGAAAAGATTCCCTATACAACATCCCCTTCTTTTTTTTTTTTTTTGAGAAAATACAACATCCCCTTCTATGTATCAAAAAACTGTGGAATTCCACCTATTACAGAAATTTGAGAACCGAAACTCATCAAGCTCTCCTAAAATCAACTCGGTCTCTATTCCCGAGATTCAAGGCCCTGCATATGCAAGGCACATGCTTAGATTGGTACATGATTTAGGACCGAATAGAACACTCTGAATCATAACCCAAAGCCACCTATACTTCTTCACTTGAACTAGTGAAAGCTAATTCGAGAAATGGACAAGAAGAAAACAAAGAACTGAGTATGTGATATGAAAAAGGATAACAAGCAGTCAAACACTATTTATCAAATGTAAACATCTTTACTAAATGTTGGTGTGAAGTTCATTTTTATTTTTCTTAAAGATATTTGTTTCAAAATGTGGTGACCCAACCGATTAGCTTGTAGGTAATGGATCACTTTTGTTTTAGCATACATTTGTTACAAAAGAAATGAATAACATATGCTCAGTTGCATGAAAAATAAATAATTTTTAGTCTGTCAATCCGCTTTTTATCTTGGTACAGTTTTGTTACAGATAACATACAAATAGCATGTGTTTAGTCATATGAAGAAAGTGCTTCAGTTCAGTTGTAAATATATTAACAAGCAAACAAGGGATTTATTTTGACATTAATTGGATTCTAAAATTAAGTTTCAAGCTTACGAGCTGCAGTTGCAAACCTTCCATGTCAATAGTCTTGCATCCTTTTACAGCCTCTGAAAGGACTTCTTGCCCAGGACTGAATGTCTTTGGTTCCTCCACATTTACTATATGTGGATATTTTCCATTCCCTGCCAAATGCTTGCACTGGAAGAAAATATAATGAGCAAGCAGATGATGTATTTAATAATCTTTGCAGAAGTTGAAAATTTACCTTTGGTAGCTCATTCTTTCGGCGTATAGATGATGTACACCCCCCAACAAGGTCTTTGAACAAAGTTAAGTTATTGAAACCAAATCATACAACATTAACATAAAGATTTGTATCAACAAACCTAGATTGTCAAACCTGTTCAGTCTGCTAAACTGTTTGTATGCCTGATACTATTTTCTTGAGATTAAATGAATATCTAGATTACAAAATACAAATTTCCTAAATCAGGATACGATCAAAGCATGTATTTGCATAGGCAACACGGCGCCTGAAGGATTGGAGAGCAGATCTGAAGAAAGGAAGAGAGCTGATGGTTAGAAGACATTTAGAAGATATGCAGAACAAGTTTTAATAACTCATGATGCCTCACATGAATGGAAGATCTCCACAGTCATTGACCATTTGAAGAAGCAGAGGAGGACTTTTGTTATCACCATCAGTCAGGAATAGATGCTTTCCAGTTCTACTGAGAATCCATGACATATGAGATGCTGCTTTTTCCATAATATGAATACCACAAAAAATTGGAACCTGAAAAACAAACAATAAATAAATAAACAAAGCAACAAATTTTTTTCTGAAAAGGTAAGGTAAAAATTTTCATAACTAAAAGGCTAGAGCCAAGAAACAAGTACAAGAATCTATAGCTTCTATAAAGTGACAGTGAAAACAATAAGTAGACAATCTATAGCTTCTGCAAATAAAGCAACATTGACATAGTTTAAAAAAATATCCATATGTACCAGCATTCAAAATAACCATAATAACAGGAGATTCTTCACCTACTTTTTGTTTTTACTAAATTATAACATTCTATGTTTCAAATAATAATGCACAAATAGATATTGGAAAACAGTAATTTGTTGACTGATAATCAACTTATAATGAAGTGATTAAAAGCAATAGCAATCTTTAAGTAATGGGATGATGGTTGATATTTTAATTTGTGCTTCTCCAAATTTGATATAATGGTCTATGGTTTGGAGGTTAAAACAGAGAAACATGAGAAATATAGGACAAAGGAGGCCTTTCTTTCAATTGACAAAGTAGTAGTCCTTTGTAAAGTCATTCTATACTGAAGAAGGCTTACTAATCAGGTTGAGTAAAGAATTGATCAAAAAAAAAAATCAGGTTGAGTAAAGAGCATCTCTTATACAACCTACCCTTTACCTGCCACCTTGTATTCATAGTTTTCCCACAAATATTAGTCATTAAAAGTTGTGATCTTTTAATATAGTAATCTCAGAAAGAAGGTCTTTACTATTGGCATGTGGTAGGTGCCAATAGATTGCTATGTTAGATACTTAGGTTATTTAGAGAAGCTTCTAAATGAACTGACCAGCATAGCCACAGAAGCTGGTCTATGGTTTCTGGTAGAGGCCATCATGGGCCAGGGCCCCAGGCAGGGCTTAGCACCTATGATAAGGGCTATAGCCAGCCTGGGCCAGGCTCCAGGCCTACATGACTTTAAGTATTAAATATTAAATAAATACAAGCATACATATATACTATTTTATATTATATAAGACATGTATAAAATTTATATTATATACATTATATAATAATACAAAATATGATATAAAATATGTATTATAAGTGTCAGCTCTCCCTCTCCCTCGCCCTCTCCTATGCTTTAATTCCAATAAGTTGTTGCTTGATTCTAGCCATTCTTTATTTGAATCTTAATTTATTATTGTAGGTATTTCATTTGATTAATAGCTCAGTTTTCATTTCTTGGAGTAGCCCCTTGGATGCTTTAATCCTGCACTAAATTCTTTTCAACAAATAAATCTAATGGCCTCAAGCCTACAACACTAAGCCCTAATTTCTTCAAGGCTCATTAAGATTTTTTTTTGTAATTATTTTCTTGATTCTTAGCCACAAGTTTTTAAGCCATGGATACCTGAAATCTCCCATCTTCATTGTGAGATCAAATTCTTAAGGCCCATTTTAGGATGCTCCTACTCTGTCCTGTATCAATGACCTACAAATCATAAATTCCACTATGCATACTAATTCAGGCATACTTCCCCACCATTTTGAATTATTTTCACATAATATTTAGTCATCATTTCTTTTGTTCTAAAGAAAATTTTTAAGAAATCAACTAATATATTTTTTAATTAATTAGATATTATTGTAAATATGAAATTATGTCATCATATAGACCAAACATAAATGAATGAACAAATGAAAGAAAGTAGGTTCTGATGAGGCACTCCTAAGACTTCTGAACAGGCAACAAAAAGTTCTAATAGGTACTGGTAAAGAAAGTATTGCTTTTAACTAACTCAGGGGCATCCAAAAGTTTGCATTCTGAACAGCTTCAAAGAGAATAGGTCATTGGTTTTGGAAGAGTGGCTTAACAAAACACTTCAGGCATGGAATTAGCAAAATCACCTGTTTATGCCCTCTTGAACCAAGGTGTGGTGTTGCAAAAGTTACAAAATTCATAGGTTCCAGTCCAGCTATTTTTCCTTTGGATTTCCCATCCAAACTTGGAGTTCCAGCTCCATCATTTGTACAATCTCCATTTCCTTCAGAAGGTTGCCTTATGAGATTGTGTTCATAAAGCCTACCAATAGCATATCTTGCCACCAAACCACCCAATGAGTGCCCTATAAAGGATATTTTTTGAAGCCTTGGATTATGCCTTGTAATTGATTGAACCTGGAAAAAGAAAGAAAGAAAGAAGAAACTGCACTCTCTAAGTTCTTTACCTGTCATGGCAACTTCAGATTGGCATGCAATCATGAACTTATAACGAAACAAACAAAACCAATTTCAGGAAAAACATTTTGTTCTGAAGGACAACATTAGATTAGAGCTACGGTTGCAGAGGAAGAAACAAGGTAATTTTTTACAGATGTGATGGAATCACTATGCACCTCTTCTGCTAATCTCTCTCCCATTGTGTCAACACCATCAAAAGTCAACATTGAGGAATTACACGCACTGCCTGCATATAGTGCAGCAATAAAACTCCACTCATGTTAATAAATGAAACAAAAGCGTGCCCATAAGTGTCAGTTTCAAAAGTATGCATGCAGGCAATATTTGCCACACATTAGCCTTGTACATTCAAGGTCAACAACCAATTCTTGCTAACTTAAAACTATTATGACCAGGGCAAGGAGAAATAAGTATAGAAATTCATTGCCCAAAGTCCAAGAGTCATTATGTCCTTATATATTCAAGGTCAACAACCAGTTCTTCATTGGTAGTCCAAGACTCAGAAAGATGCTCCTTAAACAGTCAAAAGAATATATATCAGACAGACAACAGTCAGAGGATGTAAAGACATCCCAACTAAGAAAAAAAACTTAAGAAAGAAATTCCACTTCCAATATAAAAATTAAAAAGCTTAAGAAAAGCTATAACTATACAAGAAAGCCTTTTTCTACAATGGATTTTGTGAACCCATTGAACACTGAATTCATTTCCCATGCAATCCATCTAATATGAAATATTAGCTAGGATTGACTCCATAAGCCTCCTTCAATAATCAAGAAATTGTTTGCTGTTAAATAGCTAGGATGCTGAGACACATATTAGATCCAGACATTGATATGAAGAATGAGATGTCACTCTTCTTTCTAAAAATCCAAATTAAACATTATTATGAATATGCTCATCCTGTCTAATATGTTAATACAATACTTCTATTTTAATCTCCAGATGATGTATACTTCGATGACTATAAGATCCATTCATTTGAAATTAAGAGAATAATGTAATATAAAATTGTAATAGAGATATTTAATGGGAAATTTAGATAGAGAGACTTATATGCATCAGAACTATCTCTGTAGTATCCAGTATTGGCATCCATATCATATTCTATTGTAAAGAGTTGTTACAGGTTTCTCTGTCAAGCCTTTTCTGGTAGATGAGGACATTACTGAGATGATCTAATGATCAATGGAAAGAACTTCTTCAAGTGAATAAATTCAAAACTTATGGAGATTACATGAGTAACATGACATTCGGAACTATCCAACTGAGAAGAGAACGACATGATGTATCAATCAGCTAATTATGCCACAAATGTGAAAGGCTTTTCATCTTGAGTGACTTTCTAATTTTACATCTTCCCAATGAGTTCATGATCCCTCTATTTCAAAGTGGTAGATCACGTTTTGAAATTCCTAGTACATTTCTATACCTAAAAGAAAGTTCTTTTCAATCAAATGTCACACTTTGAGCTTCCTAGAACTTCATCCAAGAAGTACTTCAAGCACCAAAAAAAATGCATTACATTAACTGCAATTACCAGCACTATCAAGATTACATGACAATTTAATCTCAAAAAAGACAGAATCCAGAAACAGAGGAAGTCAAGAATAGAATAAACTCACAATGCACAAGAATATCTTGGGGATATCTTTTGCGGAATTGCTTAGCAGCATATTTCCAATTTCCAGCACTGGATAGATAATCACAATAGAAACAAAAATTAAATTTACATTAAAAATAAGTCTGAAAAAAAAAATAAAAACAAAGAATTGCTATAACACAGAAAGCAATTATATGCAATGGGTAATGAGAGCATAAGTTGTTCCAACAAGGAAATTATTTTGGTAACGGCCAACAATCCCATTGTACTTTGCTGGCTCAACAAAGTGCATTAGAACTTAGGTTCCATATGAGAGTTATTGATTTTGACATTCTTAAAATGTTTCTTTGATATTCATGGAAATATGTTAATAAAAGAAATATCCCCTCGCCCCTTGCAACAAATGATTAAAATATCCATACAACAAGCCCCGTATCATATCAGGCATATCCGTCTCGATGCATCCAGATATGCTTGGATACACCGATACAAAAGCTTTTTAAAAACTTTAAAACTTTAAAATAGCCCGTGGGACCCTCTAATACCTATAAAACAAAAAAGTAAAAAAATAAAAAAATAGGGTATCGGTCGTATCAATATGCACCAATGTCCACTTGAGGGCATAGTTGTCAAGGCAACGCCTAGGCGACTAGGTGGTTTCCTGAGGTCACCTCGCCCAGATGACTGATGGTTTTTACATTAGGCACCCGCCCAGATTATTAGGTAGGCGCCTATATTCAAGAGAGGGCGAACAGGTCACCTCACCCAGATGACTGATGGTTTTTACTTCAGTTCGTCCAGTCCAGACGACCAGAATGGCAAGAATGAACCAGACGGTCCAGACGGTCCAGATTTCAGAACTTCTTCTTCTTCTTCTTCAGTAGTTCAGTTCTTCTTTAAGGGGTGGGTTTTTTTTCCAGTTTTAAGTTACAAAACAGGGGTTCCACCCCACTCCCTTTTTTTTTCTTTTTTCATTTTATACTTATGGATTCACAAGTCACAACCGTGTGAAATCAATTTACTTTATATCATTTTTTTTGTTCATTGTTGTGTGAAAAAACAGTGGCTGTTCCATTAGAAAATAGGTGTGAAATCAATTTATTTTATATCAATTTTCTGTTCATTGTTGTGTGAAAAAACAGGGGCTATTATTAGAATGAAAACAATTTATTTTGTATCAACTTTTTTGTTCATTTTTGTGTAAAAAAACAGGGGCTGTTAGTAGAATGAAATTAATTTATTTTATATCAGTTTTTTGTTCATTTTTGTGTGAAAAAACAGGAGCTGTTGATCTGTTCCCTAACTTTCAATTTTGGTGTATCAGTTTTTTGTTCATCTCTTGCATGTATAATGTATTATGTTTGTGAGTTAGTCGTTTGTCCATAAATGTTTTACTTAATTATCATTTATCATTAGTGAATCAGATTTTGTTCTCTTTTATGTTTTCATTATCTGTTTAATGTTAATTTGTGTTTGTTAATTAAGTTAATTTGTTGTTTTCATTGACTCATTGCCCATTACCCATTGGTATTTAGTTTTATTTTCATTAGATAATGGCAAATGAGGGAAATCAAAACACTTCTGGCACTAAGAATAAGGCTCAGTCAAAAGATCTAGCATGGAAATATGCATATTGGCATGATTTAGAGGACAAAAATGCTATTACGTGTTCCTTGTGTGGAAAGATTGTCAAAGGAGGAATTAAGAGAATAAAACAACATTTAATTGGAGAATTTAGGGATGTTACCAAGTGCCCAAAAACTACAATGAGTATTGCAAAGGAGATGCAAGAATACATGTGCAAAAATAAGAGGAAGAAACCATTAGATGATTCCACAGTGGAGGACAGTTGTGGGCCATGGGAGCAAATGGTTTCTGAGAGAGAATCTCACCATGAACGTAACCTACCTACGGAAGTAGGTGGCTCCATTTCAACTGGTAGGAGTTCCCAACCATTAAACACCAATTTTCACAGAAAAAAAAAAAGAAGGAAAATGTTAGAGGACCCATGGATGCTTTTGTGAGGCCAAGTCCAGAAGAAGTGATAGAGGCAAGGCACAAGGGACACTTGGTGCAAACAAGCATAAAAAGCCGGTTGAAAAAGGAAGAAAGAAAAAAGATGAATGAATATGTAGCAAAGTGATTTTATCAAGCCGGAGTACCCTTCAACATGGTAAAGTTGAAGAGTTTTGAGATTATGGTGGAAGCAATTGCACAATTTGGGTCTGGGTACAAACCTCCAAGTTACCATGAGCTGAGAGAGCCACTCTTGAAAGGGGAGGTTGAGAAAACAAAGTTGCTTTACAAGGAATATAAGGCCTCTTGGAAAACTTATGGTTGCACTATTATGTCTGATGGATGGACTTATAAGAGACAAAGAAGGTGAATTCCCCTGAAGGTACATTCTTCTTGAAATTAGTTGATGCTTCCAATGAAATCCACAATGCAGCATACTTGTATGAATTGATTGATAAGATTGTTGAGGAAATAGGAGAAGAATATCTGGTGCAAGTGGTTACTGATAATCACTCTGCTTATATTGTTGCAGGTGACCTTTTGAAGATAAAGAGAAAGAACTTATTTTGGACTCCTTGCACTGTTCAATGTTTGGACTTCATGTTGGAGGATATTGGAGGATTGAAGTCTATTAAGAGTTGCATTGCCAAGGCAAGATAGGTGACAGCCTTTATCTGCAAACATCCTCTTCTCCTTGCTTATGGAAGGGATCTTGTTACATGTGCTATTACAAGGTTAGCCACATCATTTCTTAATTTGCAAAGTTTGTTCACTTTCAAAGAGCCATTGTGTTCTTTATTTGTTAGTGATATGTGGAATAAAAGTAAATGGGAAAACAAACCAGAGGGTTTAATAGTCTCAAGTACTATTCTTTTTGTTACATTTTGGAAAAATGTAAGGATTGCCCTTTTAGCTTCCCAACCAATTGTGGAGGTCTTACGGTTGGTTGATGGTGATGAGAAACCTACAATGGGGTACTTCTACTTTGCAATGGAATGGGCAAGAGAAAAGATAAAAGCAAATTTTGGTAGGAGAGAGAGAGAATATAAAGCCCATTTTGGAAATTTTTGATAGGTGTTGGAATAATATGATGCAACATCCTTTGCACCTTGGCCGGTTTCTTCCTCAACCCAGCCCTATTTTATAAAACTGAAGCTGAAAATGAAGCATTAATTGGGAAGTTTGAGATGGGCTTTATAGATTGTATTGAGATGATGGTGAGTGACATTAAAATTCAAGATAAGATCTCCCATCAAATGGAAAAATATAAGCATGTCCGTGGTGCATTTTCTAAGGAAATGGCAATTAGACAACGGGAAACAAAACAGCCAAGTAATATCTACCTCTAGAATCTTATGGTTAATTCATTAATTTTTTTGTAATGTTATCTTTGAATTTGTATTTTCTAATTTAATTTTTTTCTCTATTTGTAATTTGTACTTTGTAGTTGATTGGTGGCATACTTATGGACATTGCACACCAAACCTTAGGCGTATTGCATTACACATATTAGGTCTTGAATGCACATCTTTTGCCTATAAGCGTAATTGGAGCACCTTTGAGCATGTAAGTAATTTTATTATTAATTGATTTATGATTATAAAAGTTAAAATATTTTATTTTTATAATCTTCTTATTTTTGTTTGTTATGAATGTAGATTCATACCAAGAAGAGGAACAAACTTGATCAAAAGAGGCTTAACGATCTTGTCTTTGTTAAATATAATCAACGTCTTCATGACAAGACGTGCAAATCCATGACAATTTGATCCCATTTGCTTTAATGATGTTGATGAAGGTAGTGAATGATTAACTGGAAGAGACCCATCAAATGAGTTAGTTCATGAAGGTGATCTCACATGGAATGAAGTGGATGAAACATTAGGAGCAACTGAAGCTGCCGAGGGACCAAATAGGTTGAGAAGAAGTGCATATACAGTTTATACACATGCAAGTAGAAGCGGAGGTAGAGGTGGTCATGGAAGAAGCGATGGTAGTGGACAAGACAAAGGGAAAAGTGTTATGTAAGAAGAGGAAGATGAATCCTCAATGTGAGATAAAAACATTGAGGATAATGAAGATGAAGATGAAGTCGTAGAACTTGATGAGGAAGAAGATTAAGACGATGAGGATGATGATGGTGTTGATTGTGCTATTGATGATGTTGGTGGATTTAGTAGAGGGATTGTGGGTTCTTGTTTCCTAGATACTCAAATTAGTTAGATATTTTTCTTTATTGATCATCTATAAACTTCATCTTTTGATATCCTTTTGTGGAGAACTGGATAAGTGCATTTTTTTTTTGTTATGGTTTTATTCATTGCTTGATTTGGTTCCTACTTCCTATCTATTTCCTTTTAAATGCCTATTGCCTAGAATAGATAATTTCAATCAAGGTATGTGTTTGATTTGATTCCTACATAATTCCTTTTATTTTTTGTTCATTTATTGTAAATTTAGAATGCTTTTTATTTAATTTATTATTGATTTTTTTTGTGTTAAAGGCAAAGTGAGAAAAGAGAGAGCATTCAAGGACAATACTCAACATTCACCTCAAATTCAAAGATATTTCTTTATGAATTAAAAAAATAATATTTATTAGTTTAGTTTTTTGGTGTAATTGGTTTGGACTCTATTGTTAGTGTTATTATTTTATCTTTGTTGTTAGTGTGTTGTCAGCCTAGGATGTTGTCAGCTTGTTCTTTTCTTCTTTTAATTAGTTTATTATTAGGGTGTGCTGCCAGGGGTATAAATGTAATCTTCCATTTATTATTATGTTATATCATTATATTAAGAAGTTGGGCGCCACCAGCAATACTTTTTGACTCCTAAACTATTTCCCTCTCTCTTCTTCTCTTCTTCTCTTCTTCTCTTCTTCTCTTCTCCTCTCTCTTTTCTCTCTCTCCAAGAAAGAAAATAGACTCCTTTTTATTGAAAATAATATATTTAAATGTTGAACATGAAGTCATGAATACATGCTAAGCTGATAATATTTTATGTTTTTAGCTTTTTATATGAAATTTATACTCATTTGAATGATTTATAGTGTTAATAGTTAGTGTACATGTTTGCTA